TTTTTAAACTTCTGATTATATTAAGTTGATGTATGTGTCTATCTTTGCAATAATACCACACTGTCTTAATTATTATGGCTTTATAATAAATCTCAAAATCTGCTAGTATAAATGCTTCAAATTTGTTCTTCAAGATTGTTTTAATTATTCTGTGCCTCTGTGTTTCCAGATAAATTTTATAATCAATGTGTCAGTTTCCGTGCTATACACAAAACCTGCTGGGATTTTGATTGGGATTAAATTGAATCTTCATACAAGTTTGGTGAGAATTTTTACCTTAACGATATTAAGTCTTCTGATTCATGAACTTGATTTATCTCTCTATAAATTGGTATCTTTAATTTTTCTTAGTTTTATAGTTTTCAGTGCAGGGGGCTTAAAAACATCTTTTATTAGATTTATTTCTAGTGTTTTGGGTTTTATAATGCTATGGCGAATGATATTTTTTAATATTTCATTTTCCTATAGTTTGATATCTTTTCTTTTAAACCATATTTTTTCTGTTCTCAAGTTTTTAATTTTGATCTACCTCTAAGTTGAGTGGAAATCTTTGAGTTTTGTTGTTTTTTTATTTTTTTCTAAGAAAGGTATGTGATGGTAGACTGTTAGTTTTCCCTTTGTGAGAGTCTTTCTGCTGCCTTCCCACATGTAAAATAAGTTGTCTGGGGACAGAATTTTTTGCTCATCGTATCTTTTTGCTCCACAATTTTCTGACATTTAAAGTTGCAGAATAGAAGTATAATATCGATCTGAATTGTTTTTCTTCTGTATATAATTTTTTTCTACTAGGTTGTCTGTTACACCCTTTCATCTGAGGAATTGAAGCATTTTCTCAACATTTGTGTGTTATGGTTCTTTTTTTCATTAATTTTTCCTGGTACTTGGTGAGTGCTTTTGATCTAAGAACTCAAATCCTTCTTCTGTCCGGAGACGTTTTCTGCTGTTAGTTCTTTGACTGTTGCTTGTCTGGTCTGTCCGAGAATTCTTATTGTAACAGCCTGAACAGAAGTGACTCCATTTAGTTAAACTTTTGAATTTAAAAACTTGTTCTCTCCTGTAACCCAAACCACACAGCCTGCAGCTAATTGCCAGAACACAATGACCCTTGCTCACATTGTGCACAAATAGAGGAAAATTATTAACCCTGATGTCTCTTCTTTACTAGCTTACTAACCTGATCCTATTTGAGAATAACAGGAACTGAGCTCATGGAGAATGAAGTGAAACAGTGGTCAGCTCCCACCTGGGAAGCTCCTTGAGGATTATCTGAAACACTCAAGCATGTCTGCACGTCCCCACTTGGTCACCATGAATCAACTTTCCACCACAGACCCCTATAAAATCCTTTGGCAAACCTGGGAGATGTGGAGAAGGTCTTTGAGACATAAGTCCCCAGGCTGCCAGCTTCCTGGTTAAAGACCACCTTTCTCACACCAGCTCTTGTCACTCGATTCTTGGCTATTGAGCAATGAGTAAGCGGACCTTTGGAGTCTCGGTAACATTGTTTATTTATTGAAAGAATTTGCCTTCCACAGATCTTATCTTTTTGCTCATAGTATTAGTTGCTTTACCATTTAACTCTCCGTTTTGGGAAATTTTGTTGTGTCTTTTGACTCACCAATTTCATTTTCTATGATAGACATTTCATAGTTCACTGGCTTTTATTAAGCACCCTTAAAATTTGAAATTCATGTTTTTCAATGCCAAGAATGTTCTTGTTATCTCAAATTGCTTCTTTTTTATTTTTTTAGGACTGCCTACTCTTGTTTTATAGGTTCGGTCACATCTCCTTCCTCCATGGTTGTATTCTTCCCCCAGTTCCTCTTATTTTATCCACCTCCATTCTCCAGGCAGAAGATTCTCATCTCATGTTTATATGTTGCCTTCTCATCTCATGTTTATATGTTGCCTTTCTTGTTCTTCTGTGAGCTCCCTAAGAATGGAATCATGTTCTTCTGTTTTTATGTCACGGCACAAGCACAACGCCTTGCAAACGTAGGTGCTCAATAAAAGACTGTCGATTCCAATTGCGCATTGCTTCTTGGACTGGAGGGCAGCTGCTGACGGGCATAAGGGATCTTTCTGAGAGGATGGAAATGTGATAAAACCGGCATGTGGTGATGTTTGCATAACTCTGTAAATTTACTATGAATCATTGGATCATACAATTAAAACATGTGAATTTGATGATAAGTAATTACTTATCTGATTTTAATAAATCAGATTTTTTTAAAAAAACTATTGGGGGCCGGCCCAGTGGCGCACTGGATAGTGCGCCGCTTGGGAAACGCGGCGGCGCTCCCGCCCGAGGGTTCAGATCCCACATACAGCCCGGTTCCCGCTCACTGGCTGAGCGAGGCGGGGGAGC